GCTCAGTGTTTTCCTTGTCATCACAATACCATGGCCTAACGAACTCCAACTTTCTCCTATTGTCATACCTGCTAGATTTTGTAGCACAGTAGAGGCAAGGTGAAGTGTTTATCAGGGAAGTCTGTGTTGCAATCTAGAGAAAATTGTGGATGCCTGGACTAGTCTGGAACCTGGAAGTTGGCCAGGCACATTTCTTCATGTTGAGCATTGTGTTGCTTTAGTTATGGAGACATAGGAACAATTTTCACAACCCAAGGTGCTGGAACTGAAATTTAACACATCATTAATGAGGGCAGAAACTTGAGAGATTCTAGCTGACAAGTGTCTGCTGAGCTTTTGTGAACTGCATTCAATTTTTTAACTTTCTTTTTTTCCCTTGGGTGCTTGTCTTGCTCTAATATTTGCATTAAAGGAATTTGTTTTGCTTTATCTGTATACTGACTCATGGATGGTGGCAAATGTCCTGTGGGGGTGGTGCAACGATGGAAGCAGAGCAACTGGCAACGTAGAGGTAAACCCATCTGGAGATTGTACATCACAAATTACAGCCTCATCATAAACCCTCTCTATTACATGACCCAGAAGAAGAATGATTTCAAATGGGTCCCTGGGCAACAACAAACTTTAAACAAATTAAACGAGAGAGAGTTCATGCAGTAGAACTTGGACCAGTCTTGACAGAGCAAGATGTGAAAAATGTGCTTTCCACTGCAGCCAGGGAGAATGGTCCTACTGGAGGCTCTGGCAGAAAGCTCCATGGGGAGAGTCGAGGTCGACCCCTTGGCTTTTGGAGTCAGGCCTACAGAGTATTTGAGGCCAGCTATGCTCCCACTGAAAAAGAGATACTGGCAGCCTATAAAGGGGTTTGAACTGCTTCAGAAGTGTTTGACACTGAATCACAGCTCCTCCTGGCACCCCAGTTGCCTGTGTTGGGCTGGATGTTCCTCTACACATCATGCAAATGATGCTACACGGAGTAAGTGGGCTACACTAAATACACAATGAGCTCGAATAGGAAATCCCAGTCGTCCAGGAATTCTAGAAGTCATCCTGGACTGGCCAGAGAGCAAAGACTTTGGAATGTCACCAGAGGAGGAGGTGATGCGTGCTGAAGAGGCCCCACCATATAATAAACTGTCAGAAAGTAAAAAGCAGTATGCCTTGTTTACTGATGGGTCCTGCCAGATTGTGGGAAAGCATTGGAGATGGAAAGCAGCTGTCTGGAGCCCCCTGCGACAAGCTGCAGAAACTATTGAAGGAGAGGGTGAATCGAGTCAACTTGCCGAGGTGAAAGCCATCCATCTGGCCTTGGACATTGCTGAACAAGTAAAATGGCCAGTACTTTATACTGACTCATGGATGATGGCAAATACCCTGTGGGGGTCGTTGCAACAATGGAAACAGAGCAACTGGCAATTCAGAGGTAAACCCATCTGGGCTGCTACACTGTGGAAAGATATCGCTGCCCAGGTTCAGAACCTGGTGGTGAAGGTACCCCATGTAGATGCTCATGTACCCAAGAGTTGGGCCACTGAGAAATACCAGAATAACCAACAGGTGGATCAAGCTGCTAAGACTGAAGTGGCTCAGATGGATTTAGACTGGCAACATAAGGGTGAATTATTTTAACTATGGTCAGGGACACCTCACACTAAACCATGTCACCCAAGGCTCTGTGCAACCTGAGCTTGAACACCTCCAGGGATGGAGTATTCTCAACTTCCTTGGGCAACCTGTTCCAGTGCCTCACCACCCTCACAGTAAAGAACTTCTTCCTTATATTTAATCTAAACTTCCTCTGTTTAAGTTTGAACCCATTACCCCTTGTTCTATCACTACAGTCCCTAATGAGGAGGCCCTCCCCAGCATCCTTGTAGGCCACCCTCAGATACTGGATGGCTGCTATGAGGTCTCCCATGTAGCCTCTCTTCTCCAAGCTGAACAGCCCCAACTTTCTCAGCTTGTCTTCATACGGGAGGTGCTCCAGCCCCCTGTTCATCCTCTGAAAGCTTCAAGAATTGCTATGTAAATTTCCAGACTTTGTTGGAAATCAAATTTCTGTTCTCGATTGAGAAAGTTCTAATAATATTGATGAGACTGGTAGGTAACTTGAATATAGAAAACAGGCATTCATTTAGCATACATACATCTTCCTGCCAATAGTAAAGCATCAAGGTACAAGGAATCCGCAGCGGTGCTTCTGATTCCTGCATGCCGGTGTGCTTTGCTTTTTTGTACTGCTGACTGCCATTGTTCAATTACTCTTCGAAGTAGGTTAAATTGTGTTTTTTGTGGTCTTTAAGTGTTAGTTATGTAAAGAGCTTGGATAATATTGTTGTGTTACCAAATAACTCTTCCCTAAAGACAAAAATATTGACATGACAAAACCACATTTAAATAATGACTGTCTGGCCCTCCCTCCCTTTAAACATCAGTTGATGTCCTAGTGGATGAAATGTAAATTTGCTTCATTACTTTTTAGAAATTGCATAACTTGCATGTGCATCAGTCTGCCGGCTGCAGGAAGGGGAAGCGGATTTCATGGATGTGTAAGACATTGTATAGGTTTCAGATTTAAAATTGCATGTTATGGTTGTTTAAATTTGTTTCTTTAAATCATGTGGATAATTGTTACCAATGTACTATCATAAAACTAGCATTTTACTTTAGAGTTTGTTAACTTTTATCCTGATGTTTCAATGTGTTTTTTTGCCTAGAATTACCACTTTTAGCTCAAGCAACAGGTGGTTTTATGACAACCAAGTGCATTGGTGGTTAGTCTTATATTTAACAAAAGGAAAAATGCATGAATTAACATTTACCCAGTTTTGGTTTTTAATGATTTTAATTTGCCAAAAGTTAAACCATACATGATCTAGTTATGAATTAAATTTTCTTTGTCCTAACATAGAATCATAGAATAGTTAGGGTTGGAAAGGACCTTAATATCATCTAGTTCCAACCCCCCTGCCATGGGCAGGGACATCTCACACTAAATCATGTCACCCAAGGCTTCGTCCAACCTGCTCTTGAAAACTCCCAGGGATGGAGCATTCACAACCTCCCTGGGCAACCCATTCCAGTGCCTCATCACCCTAACAGGAAAGAGTTTCCTCCTTATATCCAATCTAAACTTCCCCTGTTTAAGTTTTAAGCTGTTACCCCTTGTCCTGTTGCTACAGTCCCTAATAAAGAGTCCCACCCCAACATCCCTATAGGCCCCCTTCAGATACTGGAAGGCTGCTATGAGGTCTCCACGCAGCCTTCTCTTATCCAGGTTGAACAGCCCCAACTTTCTCAGCCTGTCTTCATACAGGAGGTGCTCCAGTCCCCTGATCATCCTCATGGCCCTCCTCTGGACTTGTTCCAACAGTTCCATGTCCTTTTTATGTTGAGGACACCAGAACAGCACACAATACTCCAGGTGAGGTCTCACAAGAGCAGAGTAGAGGGGCAGGATCACCTCCTTCGACCTGTTAGTCACGCTTCTTTTGATGCAGCCCAGGATACGGTTGGCTTTCTGGGCTGTGAGTGCACACTGCCGGCTCATGTTCATTTTCTCATCGACCAACATCCCCAAGTCCTTCTCCACAGGGCTGCTCTGAATCTCTTTTCTTCCCAACCTGTAGCTGTGCCTGGGATTGCTCCGACCCAGGTGTAGGACCTTGCACTTGTCATGGTTAAACTTCATGAGGTTGGCATCAGCCCACCTCACAAGCGTGTTGAGGTCCCTCTGGATGGCATTCATTACCTCCAGTGTATCAACTGAACCACGCAGCTTGGTGTCATCGGCAAACTTGCTGAGGGCGCACTCAATCCCACTGTCCATGTCAGCAACGAAGATGATGAAGCAGACCAGTACCAACACTGATCCCTGAGGGACACCACTCGTTACTGGTCTCCAGCTGGACATTGAGCCATTGACCACAACTCTTTGTGTGTGGCCATCCAGCCAGTTCTTTATCCACTGAGTGGTCCATCCATCAAATTGATGTCTCTCCAATTTAGAGACAAGGATGCCGTGTGGGACAGTGTCGGAACGCTTTACACAAGTCCAGGTAGATGACATCAACTGCTCTACCCCTGTCCATCATTTCCGTAGCCCCATCATAGAAGACCACCAAATTGGTCAGGCAGGATTTCCCCTTAGTGAAGCCATGCTGGCTGTCAACAATCACCTTGTTGTTTTTCATGTGCCAGGAGAATCTGCTCCAGGATTTTGACAGGCACAGAGATGAGACTGACTGGTCTGTAATTCCCCGGGTCATCCTTTTTCCCCTTCTTGAAAATGGGGGTTATATTTCCCTTTCTCCTGTCATCGGGAACTTCTCCTGACTGCCATGATTTTTCAAATATGATGGCCAGTGGCTTAGCAACTTCATTCGCCAGCTCCTTCAGGACCCACGGATGGATTTCATCAGGTCCCATGGACTTGTGTATGTTCAGATTTTTAAGATGGTCTCGAACCAGATCCTCTCCTACTGTGGGCCCAAGGTCTTCATTCTCACAGTCCCTGCATCTAACTTCCAAGATGGGGGTGGTGGGGTCAGAGCACATTTCATTCACCGAGCCTCTTAATTTTAATAAAACTCACTACCACATTCTGTAATAGAAAAACTAAACTTCAAAACAGTTTTTGTATTTCTGTAAACTAGGTGTATCTTTGTACAATTGGTAATTTGGCTTTGATTAAAATCAGTATCAGAAACACACCAGTCACTTTGCTGTAGAAATCCTGTACAGAGGTATTGAGAGGTCTGAAAGTAATAAAAATATTTTGATATTAGTTTGTTCTGGTAAATGTTGTTCCTGATAATTGTACTGGAGGACAGACAGATGCCTGTACTGTTTTCTGATTTTTGAAGAGACTGAATAAGTTTGTAATTAAATGCTACTCTTTGACTCCTAAGCCTCTGTACTAGTTGCGCATTTATATTATGCCTCTGCAAGTGCAGTAAAAGTCAACTAATACTTTAATATGACATCTACTTTTTCATCAGCTCCTGGGCTACAGCGAAAAGCCAGTATACCTACAGTTGTTCATTGGCACAGCAGATGATCGGTACTTAAGACCTCATGCATTCTACCAGGTGCACCGAATCACTGGAAAAACAGTTGCAACAGCTAGTCAAGAGATAATAATTGCCAGCACAAAAGTTCTGGAAATACCACTTCTTCCTGAAAATAATATGTCATCCAGGTATGTCACAACGTAACTTAGCTGTGTAGTTTTATGTACCTTTTTCTTATTTTCTTTTGTGCAAAGGTGAAAGAAAATCTTGTAGAATAGCATATTTTCTGCAAATATGGTTCATGGTTAAGGTAGACACATCTATTTAAATGTGTCAGCGTTCAGGTAGTCAGAAGTAAAGGAGGAGAGAGACAGGGAAGCTCATAAGATTGACAGGGAAATAGATGAGCACTTCTGGGATTACTTTTCCTCATACAATCCATACATACATATGACTCCACTGTGGGTTACTGGCAGTGAAGATTTTCTTTGATTTTACGAAGACATAAAACTTTTTTCTATGAAAATACAGTCATACAGTTTAGTTCTTTCTTTCTTGACTGAATGTGGTGATTTAACTTCTGGTATCATAGTAGGCCTTCTCCTTGTTCTGGTTATTTTATTTTTAGCAGTTGTGTTATTCTGACTTTTAAGGTCTTGCCAGGTAGAACGTGCTAAATAATAGTTTAATGGTTAGTTATAGCAACAATTAAATAGCTCCATTCTAGCTTGGACGGTCAGGGAACAGAGCAAAGCACAATCATTTGTTTATATAGCACATTATTTCTTCTGAAGTCAGCCTAAATTTTCCTAGTTGCAGACTTCATGCTAATTCCATTGAAGGCTATGAACCCACAATGATGTGCAAGAGAATACTCCTCCCAAGTTTACATATATGTATTACTTGATTAAAGTATGTGTGTCATATGAATAACCATTCTATTTGATGAGCTATTTGATGACTACACTTTTGTCATTCTCTGGTCCTTCCTAAGGCAGAGCTAAATATAGTTCTCTTGCTCTTGATGATGTTTATTATGTTAAATAGCTTACTATAAAGGTTAAACATTGTACAATAACACATAATCTTTTAAAGGTTCAAAAAAGCAGAAGCTAGACATATACACGGCAAAATGTTTCGACAAACAAACAAAATGTTGCTGCCATTTTTGACACTAGCAGATCTTTTAGTCTCAGACATTTAAAATAACATTTAAAATAGCATAACATGGGGTAAAACAGAATGCTGTTTGTTCTTTAACAAAAGAAAGGTTTACAGAGTATATTTGGCAGTAGTTTGATTCATTTTCTTCCATTTCTCTTCTGATCCCTCTGTCCTCACCTACCTCCAGTATCGATTGTGCTGGTATTTTGAAACTTCGCAATTCAGATATAGAGCTCCGTAAAGGAGAGACAGATATTGGAAGAAAGAATACCAGAGTGCGGCTTGTGTTTCGTGTTCACATCCCACAGCCTAGTGGAAAAGTCTTATCCCTGCAGACTGCTTCCATACCTGTTGAATGCTGTAAGATTGCTTTAACTGTACATGATTTGTACTCATGTTTTCTGCATGTGTTAGTAGTATTGTCATTCTGAAAATATTTATTGCCAGATTTATATGTAACAAGTGTGTGTAAAAAGCATTGTGTGTAAAGAGCTAAATTACCAAAACTGAATACAGCTTTATAGAAAGATGGGACTTGCCAAGTGGCAGCCTGAAGGTTTGGAGGAAAACCAATGTTACAGGCTTTAAACCTAATACTGCAGTCACGCAGCTAGCAGCTTCAGTGGTTCCTGAATCTGAGCAGAGGCATATGATGTATCTCTGTGAAATAAATACTAATTTCAGGAAGAACTAATACCATTTCATTTAAAAGAGTCTATACCATTACTTGTCTTCATACAGTATTATCTAATGCACAGCTGAACTTCTAGAGAGTTCATTTGTTAAATGCTGGCACTGAAGAATCAAAATATGACCTTAAACAAGCTGAATTTCTCCTAGAATTAATTTTCTCTATAAAATAGTAAAATAATTTTTAAACTAATATTCTTAAATTAAATATAAAATTTTCTGTAACAGTAGAGACTGTTGGGATTCATGGCTCCTTAGTGTTTCTTTTCTATATTTATAAAATTTCAACATAATTTTAAAACCAAAAATAATACAAAAAATATTATTTTTATATGTAAATAGATGGTCAGTTTGGTTTCACCCCTATTCTTCAAGATAGGATCATAAAAGACATGTCACTATGATTAAAGTTAAGAATAATACTTTTTCCCTTAATTGTTGTTTTTTTTTAAAAGCTCAGAGATCTGCTCAAGAACTCCCTCAGATTGAGAAGTACAGCATCAACAGTTGCTCAGTAAACGGAGGCCACAAAATGGTGGTGATAGGATCCAATTTTCTTCCAGAATCCAAAATTATATTTTTTGAAAAAGGGCAAGGTAAGTGCTATCTTAGTTTTTGCTTAAAATAAAAGCCAAAACCACAAGCCTGAGCTTGATTTTAGGAAGTAGGGATGTTTTTTTAAAGTAAAACAAAAATAGTCATAAGGAGTAATCCGAAACTCCAGGTTGGGCATTGAACTACATGCTGGTTGACAATTATTAATGAAGTAGTACTTGAGATTCAAGAAGACAATTACAGGCTAACTAACTTGGAATTGTGTGTATTTCAAAGATGTTGTTGACGTATCTTACTGGGTATTTTGTCATTAAAAAAAAAAGAAAAATTCTAAAAGGAAATGTACTATTTGGCATTGATGTTACATCTGATTTAATCATTGCACAGGAACTGACTTACTCCTAAGCTAATGCAATAAACATTAGTTAGAAAACACTACTGATTTTTTTTTCCCCATATATTTGCATAATATTTTCTGTAGAAGTTACTCTTCAGGGCTGCAATTTTTAACAAGTCTCAAGATCTGGCTCAGATTTGGGGTGTAATGTATCCTTCAGCTGTGTCTATGTCCAATTTGTAAACAGGCAAGTGTGCATCTAGGTAAAATACTGGCAGTAAGCAGTGGTATGAACGGTAGTAACCTCTTGTACATGTATTAAACATCAGTGAGTTTGACACCTGTCAATTACTTAATCGCCAAGAAATCAGAAATGTTATAGTTAGTTTGCTACATGATTCTCATTCTCTAGAATCCAAGTTCAGTCTTCTACGCAGCACATAGTCATGGGTGAGAACTGCAGTAGGCTTACACGTGTGTATTAGAACAGTAGAGTTCACAATTATATTTCAGGCACATAGTTCAGTTGTACTAAAGACACCATGTGTCCTTCATGCAGTGAAATTGGTAGGAAAAATTAACTGCTTCATACTGACTTCGTGAAATAAAACCAATATTAAATTTTTCAGTCTAACATATAGGACATAGACTCTCCAAGTAAGCAAGAAACTTGCAGATTTTGGATGAATATTTCTAAAACATCTTTCTTTAAATGCAAGTTCAGGTTTGAAAGCTGCTTTTTTTCCCCTAAACCCATGTTCTTTTCTCTTTTCTATCACTTTTATAATGATGCAACTCCATAAACTAGAAAATTTACCACCAAAAAAAAACCCATTGAATACTTTTACTACAACCAGATATAATGAATATTTTGCAAGTTTTCTTATTTTTGTTTTGTATTATACACACACTTAGGTACATACATACATATTACTCAAAGATCTTCAGTTACTCATCATTCCTTCCTGCTTATGCAGCTCTTCTGGATATGCATCTTGATCTTCATATTTCTTACTTAGACTAAAATGCATGAAAATTAGTTGAAAATTTAGGAGCAACTGTCTTAATACTTATTTAATATAGAGAACATAAAATTTGAACAACCTAAATTGTCATTTGCTGTGACTTGAATACTTGCTTTGAACTTTTGGGAAAACAATAGCAAAAGTCAATCATTAAAAACAGAAGTTGGCAACCAAGTCCAATACTTCTACGCTGTTTCCTTAAATATTTAAGTATAAGAGCTGGATCTTTTTTAATTAGCAAATACAAGGTATCTGGAGGTTTTATGTAATAATGCATTTGGACACACAACTTGAATGCCTTTTGAAGAAGTACTGCTGCTAGACAACAGGTTCCCTGATAGCTTGTACAAAAATCAGTAACAAAGAGCACTGAGAGTTATGTTCAGGCTAAGGGGTTATGTAAGGTCAGAGCAGAAAGAGGGTTACTGGGCAATTTACTTCCCTCACACCTCACAACACAGACTGCTTGCCCTGCATTTGAACCACAAGGCCTTTCAGGTCAGGGGAGGGTGTTTGTTTTGCATGCATAACCTGTGGGTATGTGCATGAAGGTCTGTGTTCTCTCTTACATGGTGACTTATCTTGGAAGTCATCAGCATGTGTGTTGGATAATTGCAGGTGTTAGCAATTTAGCTACCTTTCAAAAAGGTTTTTAGAAAAATGGGATAAAGAAAATCCCTCTGTATACTTACAGTGCACTGGCTCCTTTGGAATTGACTCTAAGTGAACATAACCAGCAGCTTCTGTTCAAATGCAAAATCCTGTGCAACAGTCAACTTGTGGACATTGTAGAAACTTCTAAAGCATCTCTGTACTTCACACTTTGTTTACAGGACCTCTGTCAGTTGAATGGCCTGTTTATGACTGAAAATAAATGCAGTTCTGTATTAATTATTTAAGTATTTTTAAGATTAAGTGTTTTAGAAAATGCTTTTTGCTTGAATTGCTTGTAAATTTCTCTCAACAGATGGACGACCTCAATGGGAGGTAGAAGGGAAAATAATTAGGGAAAAGTGTCAAGGGGTGAGAAACAATTTTTCTTACTTTAGGAAGCTTTCTGTTTTAAAATAAGAAACTAGACATCTTCATTGTTGTTCTGAAATTTAGGCTTAATTTAGTGAAGTAGATTATTGGCTGTTTCAGCTAGACAACTGGAGACTTCCAAATTGGTTTAATACTATAAAGTAGCCATTAAGATGATGCTTTGAAGGAACTGGAAATATCGTGCTTGTTGTGAATGTAGTGAAAAAAGAAATTGAAAAAAAAAAAAAACCCTGAAGATAATTTTGCTAAGATGACAGTTTCCAGTGAATTAAAATTTTTCTCAAAAGCTAAATGATACAAGATGCAGTTCTTTGACTGCTAGAGGTTTTTTTTATGCTCTGGCAGATAAAGCATCCTTTAGATGATGTGTCTGTTTAATTAAAAGTATTACTTTCGGAACACTTGTGTTTAAAAGAAGGAAAAAGTCTCCAAATAAAAGTTTGCTTATAGCACTGTTTTACTGTTTAATGCATGTAAACTTGCAGTTTACCAACTTCAAAATATCAGTGCTCTAGTTTTGCAATAAGTGCAATAAGTTTTTTTGTAATTAATAGCAGTTTCATTTGCATTTAAAACTCTTGTTTCATACAGGCAAACATCATACTTGAAGTTCCTCCATACCATAACAAAGCCATTACAGCCGCAGTTCAGGTGCAGTTTTATCTCTGCAATGGCAAGAGGAAAAAAAGCCAGTCTCAACGTTTTACTTACACACCAGGTATTAAATAAAAAAATTAAATTTGCATTTTAATTTGTGTTTCAAAGTAGACATTTGAATGTAATTCAGACAATCTTGTACCTGACAGGTAGGTAAGATTAGCTTTGAACTGTTTGTAAAACAACTTACTTAAGGTTGTCTAATTCAAAAGCTGAATTCAGCACAATAAGCTACACTGCTATGATTACAGCCAGGTATTTCTTTGTTAATGTGTTTTACAGAACAATTTGCATTCTACTTCTCTTTGAGAATGATGATGAATCTCAGAAGCTGCTCTTTAAGTAACACTAGTGATGACATGGGGAATAGTGAGATCGTAGAAGAACAGGTTTTATGTATTTTTTCCCCCTTCAAATGTCAGAACCCCCCAACACAGGTTTAGATACAAGGAAGACTTAAAAAAAAAAAAAAAAAAGTCTGCTCCTTTGCCTTTCACTTACATTCTTTTCAGAAATTCATACCTCTTCAGAGTAGTTGGAGTTCACAAGGTCCCAGTGATGGGGCTAAACCCTGTAGTACTGCTTGGAGGATGTGCGGTTGGATATCTGAAGGAGTCTTTCAAGACAGATACAAATATTAATATAAACTTCTTGAAGCTAATGTTTGTGCTGGCAAAGCCAACTTCCATTAGTTTACACAATTTAAAATAGTTTTGCTTACTTGTGCTCTAAAATTACCTACTTACCTTCATGTGTAATTCAAGCAGTGTTAGCGAGGTATCTGATACACTAAGTATACATTAATTGTGTTATCAGATTTATGGGGTCTTTTTCAACCATTCTTAAGAATCTTGCCTTCTAAGATAGTTACAAGATACATCTTAAAACTATATTTTTGTTTGAGAAATCCATATTTAAATTATTTAAATGATGGAATTAAGTAATGACACTGCTTAAATAAGAAGCAAATTTAATTATAACTGCACTATTATTGCACAGACATTTTAAAATCCATTTTATCTGTAAATATATATCACAGTTCACTTAACAGTGTATTTTATAAAGTAGTAATTAGGAGTTGTTTTAGCATTTTTCTGCTATTTGTACTTAAAATCAGTATCTCTTCATGAGCATACCAGTAGCTTAAAAAATAAATGCTGTGTGTCAGTTTCTAACTGTATTATAAGAACAGTTGCTGCCATCATTGAAATTGGGGGATATGCTGAAAGAGCTGCTGTAATTAAAACAACACACACAACTTGAGCTAGTTTGTAACTAACTGTGTTGCCAAAGTTCAGCAGTCACCTTGCTCAGAGGCTGAGGAAGGTTTGAAGCCTGGTAGCAATATCTGTATATTTATCACAGGGTACAAATGGGTTGGGTTTGTAATTCAGTATTTTACTTTTTGTAGTTATAATGAAGCAAGAGCACAGGGATGAGGTGGATTTGTCTGCCATTCCGTCTTTGGCCCTGCATCACACAAGCAATGTCCGGGGCCTGCATTCTATCCAAACTCAATTGCCTTCATCAGAGCAAGGGCATTCTCACAACAATTTACTGTCTACATCACCCAGGAGCCTCGTGTGTTCCGTTCAACCACCATACACAGCCATGGTGACCTCAGCAGTATCCCACCTGCCACATATGCAAGGCAGAAACCTTAGTCCAAGTGAAGAGTGTCATGTTTTGCCTCCTGCTGTGGTTCAGTCTTTTCAGGTAACATCAGCACCCCCTGTGAGGCCTTCTTACCAGCCTATGCAGTCTAATGAAGCATACAATGGACAGTCTGGTCTTCCTATGAACTCTGCCTCCAGCCAAGGATTCAATGCTATTTCATTTCAGCAAGGCACAGCTGTATCTCATTTGATAAATCTTAGCTGCCAAGCCCTACCACCGATGCAGTTTCATTCTGCAAGCCCAGGTTCTGTGTCAACACCAAGTACAGCAGGACACCTGCTAGCACACCCAGCTCATTCAGGACAGTCATCTTCTCACCTGCCATGGATGGGATATCACTGTCCAAGCACTGGGCAGTGCTCCATCCCATCTGCAATGAGTCGGTCCCTTGGGCAGTCTTCTCCCCAGCTGCAGCAGGTCTCATATAATTCTACAAATCCAGCATCTGCTTCATTCCCATCCCCAACAACTTCCCACCCTTTGGTCTTCTCACCCCTGTCTGGACATTCTTCATCCCAGCTCCAACCTATGCCTTACCAGTCTCCTAGCTCAGGACCTACCTTGTCTCCCCCACCAGCCACTGTAAGTCACTCGGGACAGCACTCCCCTCAAGCACACAGTCCAGTGCTGGGCAGTCTGAATGCAGCGTCATCCCTGGTGCACCACCCCACATGCATTTCATCTCCATTCCCGCCAGATGGGGCAGGTATTAACATTAAACCAGAACCTGAAGATCAAGAATTGAATTTTCAAACAATAGGACTACAAGACATCACACTAGATGATGGTAAGTGGATATAGTATTTTAATACCAGGATATAATCTACATTAAGATACAGAGTGGGTGTGGGAGAGTTGTTTTGTTTTGTTTAGACCACACTCCTCTTCACAGCAGTAAATTTGTGTTATCAAAATGGAGTTATATTTTTGTGTCCAAAGCAACAAGTTGTTTAAAACTGCTGTAAATTTGTAGTTACACAATTCAAGTACTTTAGTCTAATTTGCCCATAGACGTTTTTGGGGGGGGGGGGGGGGGGGGGAATTGTTTTTTTTGTTGTTTTTTTTTTTTATAAAACAGGGTTTGAGGATTAAGTCCTACACATTGACACCTTATGTATAGGAATTAATTTGAAGCTTTTTCTGATGGTCTTGTTGGTAGGTTTCAGTGAGAGTTGTCATAATATATATTAAGTTGCAATAAATGTAGTTTGGAGTTCTGTTTCTTGGAGGGGTCCCAGTTGGAAAGGGCAGGCTAGTTTTTTAAAATATTTCACAGGCATTTTGGCACTGTCTTAGTCTCTTCACAGGCATTTCATTTTGTAATTCTGCTGTCATCATTCAGCACCTCTGCTCACAGTAGCTGTTTGCTTTCTCCTTACCATTTTAGCCTTTTGAGGAATTCACTTGTTTAATACCAACAGAACAAGGACATTCTAGTGCTAAAGGCCAGGCTGTAAAGTTCTCTACTTCAAATACTTGGACAGTGTTCAATTACCAAACATGTCCAACCAAGTGAAAAAAAAAAAACAAACCAAGAGATCAGATCCTAAACGTCATACTGTTTGAGGCATAGATGCAAAGCAATTTAAAGAGAATGTCATGTTAATAGGACTGGAAGAACAGAAGGCCTGGCCTTAAAAGGTGTGTAAAAGCTGTTTGGTGTTGATGATGGGAATCTTTTTTCACAATAGCTTTAACTGTTGTGGTTTGTTGTTTTTTTTTGTGTCACATTAGAACCTACCTTTTTCTCATCTTTCTTCCCTTCATGCTTTTCACCACATAAACAGAAGTGTTTGGCATTTATGAGCATCTTGGCAGTTAGTTTGTACTGGTTCAAAAATTAAAATCAGTGGACAGTAAAAAGAAAGCTTCCCCTCCCCCCCCCCCAGCACAAATACTAGTTGCTTTTAGAAACTTTTCCCATTTCTTAACACTGTGAAATGACCAAGTTGTTTCTGTGCTGGCAAAGACATGGAATCATGGGAAAATCTGCAAGAGCCGCACTTAGAGCATGGTCACTTCCTAATAAATTAGAGAAGTATAACCAATACACATGAGTCAAATGGCCACAGTTTCATTGGTTTCTTTTTGTAAATAACACTTGCTATAGAAGTTTATAGTTTAATCACCAGCTATTGGACCTTCTTTAAACTTCCTATATGGAAAACTGAACAGGGTTTTAAGCATTGAACTTAGCAGTTGGCAGCAGCAATATGTTTGCGAGTGTAGAGATTACCTTCAGTTGGGTTTCACAGTACACCCACTCAATGACTGCTTGGGGGGGTTGGGGTTGGTTGGGTTTCTTCATTTCCAATCAGGTGTCTAACCTGAAACCTGCTGTTCCAAAAATCTTGAAGGGCAGAGTGCAAAGAAACAAGCTGCTCAGTTCTCTCAACATGAGTAACTTCTCCTGCTTAATCAGCTTTAAATAAAAACCATGTTTGGGCAGGAACACTTTTTTATAATGTCTCTAATGATTACTGTGCTTTTAAAAATAATTTCAAAATTTTTCTTCTGTCTGTAATCAAATTTATGTCTATACAAATAGAGCTAGACACAAATAGCAAATCAGTTACTCTGCATTAATGGTATAACAATTAAGGAAAAAATCTAAACATGATTGCATACATTAATGAATGTTGATACAGTATGTTCTCCCAGCTAATATATCAAACCTGAAGCTGTATTTAGTTGTAAAGTAGGTTTTTATAGGTTAGCAATTAAGGCAAGTAAACCTCTTGAAATACTAAGGCAAAACCAACTGAGAACTGTATAAATCATGTCTGTATTGCTGACCTTAAATATTTAAGTCAGTAGTCTTAAAAAAAGAAACAACTCAAAAATAAACACAAACAAACAAAAAAACCCAACACACCAAAACCCAAACAACCCTGCCAGCATAAATAATCTTCTTTCTTTTAACAAAATTTGAGTGTAGTATAGAAGTGCTACCTCAAGCTAAAATTAGTCCTGGAATTACAAAGTTCTTTAGGCTTGATGGAGTGATATTTAAAATTCTTTAAAAAAATACCCCAACACGTTCTGGGTAGTAGTTACCTAATCCCTTTAAGCAAGACTCCTAAAAGCTAATCTTACTGCCTCTTCTTAGATCAGTCAGGCTTTTTTTCTTCAAAACCCCCAAATCCACTGCTTAATACAGAACTACAAAGCTGCTTCATACATCAGTGCTCAAGGCAAGAGCATCTGGATTAGTCTTGATCTAGCATCTCCCAGAAGGTGTATCGCATCTGGATTCACCACTTACAGCTTCTCTGCAGAGCCAGTCACTTGCCAGTGACCAGCATGGGGTAACTTTTTGTGTTGATTTGCCCTTCATCAGTCAGAGTGAAAAGGAATTACATCATTTAAAGACAGATCCTCTGCCTGGGTGTTTGCACAAAGTACACATTTTACCTTTTTTTTTCCCCTCTGATGAAGTTTAGGTGATTCTTTGTTTTCTTGTTTTTCAACAGGATCTGGTTGATGTCTTTAGGCTTTTCTCATCTCCGCCTTGAATTTGATCTTTCGTTTGGCTTCCCTTCTTCCTGTACTTACTTCCTACAGGAAACACTTTCTAATTCACTTGAAGAAACAAGGGATCAAAATGCATGAGGACACCTAGATATTAAATTTAAATGATATTACAAAAAAAAACATTTAAAATATAACACGATTTTAAAGTAATATGTACTGTATGCTACTACTTAAAAGGTGTTCTTAAAAACAGTACTTCTTTCTGCTTAGGTCTTTTCAGTAGTAAGTCTGCACAAGCAGGTAAACTTTTGGACTGGAAGTATGTAAAAGTACCTTCTTGCTCTTTGTCCCCTCCATTTTTACTCCACCTACCCTGGTATGTTGGACCTTCTTTTTTCCTTGCCATCTTTCAGGAAGTCTGCCCTCTGCCCAGATCCTCAGGCTAACAGCTGACTATATAGACCACAGAATATTTAGTGCTGCAAATAGGTGTAAACAAGGCAACTGAAATGACTAGAAACAGGCAGTTGGTGATATCTGTCCTTTCCAACATCCATCATCCATCCTGTGCTCTGTTTGTTGTACGTTCCCCTAATATAGGTCCCATTTCTTCCCCACTTGAAAAAAAAAGACTCAGTCTAGTTATATGATTTCCCCACTGTTTTTGAAAAGTGCTCCTAGTGTGGGGGTTTACCTATCCCACTGTCAAGTTTTAGATTTAAATCTATTCTAATACTGTTGATCTAAAACTTAATCTCTTGTGGTTTGCAGTTTAGGAGTAAGTTTACCTTGGATTTCATGATTTTCTACAGTGATGAGATTTCTAACATGCACAACTGTATTTAACCATTTTTAAGGTATTATTTTAGGCTGTATTCAGCAAATCAGGATGACCTTCTACTAATCTTCTTACATTTTGTTATTCATTGCATCTCCATTATCTAAAGCTGGAGATCAGCAAATCCTGTGGATTTACTACAAATCATAACTAGAAATCCTCTAACAGTTTTGTGCACACAAAGCAATAAGCTGCTTTGTCAGACACATTCCATGTAGAATTCTAAGCCATTTGTATTCATTCATTTTAGTAGTTCTGTGATAACTCTCTAGTTGAATTCTCTTGCTGGGAAGCTCAGCGTTTATCCTGATCTTTGCTAGAGAATTTGTGCGTCTTCACAGATAGCTTTTTACTGTAGCTTGAGCTTAACTTGTGGAGACTCACAGGAGTAACTAGTAAGAAAGCATTGGAGAATGACTGTATCCTGTATTTTTCTCTATATTTAAAATCTTATGCATTAACAAGTCATTCTTAATGAAGGCAGCATCCTGCCAAACAGAGCATTGAAAGTCTACAGAAACACAAAAAATATTGAATGCTAAAGTCTAGCTTAGTATGGAGGAGAGCAGCTCAAAAAACTGTCTTCTTGCCAGTGCAACTCCAACTTGAGATGTTTGTCTGCAACTCCAGTTTTTGGTTTTAGCTGTCTCATCGGCACAGAACAAAATGTTGCATCTTGTAGCATGCCTGGCAGGATTTGTGTGACAAGAACTCAGCTAGAGTTCTTTTATGTTGTACATAGAACCCTCAGAATATTCCTGTTGATAACAGGCATTTCCAAAATTATACTAGTATAAATTCTTTAGTAAGGTTGTGTTCAAACTCCTCCTTTCTTAGTATTCTGTATATTAAATATATAATGTCAAGCAGTATGGAGATAGCAATAAAAAGCAGTGTGGAATTCTAATTCTCCTCATAAGCATATGATGACAAGTCAGAACCTGAAATGTATTGGAAGAGAATGGGAATTTACTTTTAGAAATGGGTGGGTGTTATGAATGAAACAGAAAGATCCAGACTGAGCAGTAGATTAAAAGGAAAAGGTTGGAACAGTGAGGAAAGGTGAAGAGGATGTTATCCATATGGGCTGCCAGCGGTCATGTCTTCTAGTGGGTTCATTCACTGTGTTCATAAAATGTGTGCCAGCAAGGCACCTGGTGAGAAGACCATTTAGAGATTGCTGATGTGTAAAGAACTCAGATAAATCCTCAGCCATCTATGACCAGCTAACATATGATACTTCCTATTTCCCTGAGAGCCACAGAACACCTTGTAACAGATTCAAAGCTCAACTAGTTGCACCACTGCAAAAAGATTCCCATTTAAGACTTAGAAGAGTAAAAACTTACTTTGTGAATGCAGGTGGCATGTCTACATCATGGTGCAGACACAATAGTAGCGGAACTGGAAGGCGTTAGGCATGCCCTGGTGACACCAGATAAAGTACACTTAGATGCTTTCACACTATTTTCTGC